ACAACATTGATTGTATCAGTGAAAGCAATTATTAGGTGTGGACGCTGTTTGGTTTGGAGGCCATCGCTATTATTAGGTGTGGACACTATCTGGTTTGGAGGCCATAGCGCGACTGTGATTGAATGAGTTTCATTGCTCTTGTTTTGTCAGCTGGTTTGTAAGTAGCTTTATTGTTCCTAGGAGTAAGGCCAGGAGCCCCTAGTAGCGTCCTTGCTCCTAGTAGCGATGCCATTGGCTACTAGTAGCGTCCTTGCATGGATCTTTTAGGGCTCACACCCTTTCCTAGGGGCTCCTGCTCTTCCTCAAGGTACCGAAGCTCGGTGCTTGGATGCCACAGTGTTTGTAGACCATTTACCTTAAGTTGCATTAACACTAATAGCTATATATTTACCCCTGCGGATGGTTCCACCGGCCCTTTTGGCTGAATCCAAAACCATGCCCGCTCGCATAAAGAACAACAAGTAGGCGCAAGGAGAGGGGAAGGAGGGGGGGGGGAGACATGGAAGCAAAAAAGTACAAACAAGAGACAGCGAAAATACCAATACTTACATGGGGGAGGGAGGGGGGGGGGGGGGAGGGGGGGGGGGGGGGGGGGGGGGGGGGGAGGGGGGGGTCCGGAACTGTCCAACGAACCATCTGGCACACAAGTAGTTAAAACACAACAAGACAACTTTTAACACAACAACTTAAAACAAACTTCCGTATATACACAATACAAGACAATTAGAAGAGAACCGAATTTGGAGTGGAGACAATCACACTTCGTATAACTAAAAGAGCACTTAACACTTCTCGAACCCCGCGGACCCCGCGGACCCCGCAAACTCTGCAAACCCCAACCAGACACAGTTCGTCCCCATCTCTTTCAAGCTATCTCTTTCAGCCCGCGGCTGGTCACCTCCAAGGCAGGTGCAGTACTCTGTGGAGATGCGTTGCCACAAAGATGACTGCCATACGATGCCATACGGTTAACATACAACATACAATAAACGTCCTGTTCACACAACGCTCGCCTGGATCCGCATCTATGCCAGACTTGCCAACAAGGATCCGCATGTCTGGATACATCTTATGAGCAGAAAGGATCCGAGCCGGTCACTTCCATTCCCAACATGACATGTTCGGAGGACTTCTCGCACGGCAACACACCTGTTCAAGTGCGAGCGCACAAAAACTCGTATGAAGACGTCCTCGCAAGTTTTGCATCTTGTAGGTCCACTACGTTTGTGTCTTATATAAATTGTGATTTTGGAAAGCTTCAAAGTTAATAAGGAATAGAGGGTGAGTAAAGCAAATCAAAAGGCAAAGAAAAGGAATAACTATTTAAAGCCTCAAATCTCTAGACATTATTCTAGGGCACCCCCCTAAATAATGTGAGAAAGCTGCTTGCTGGACTACCCCCTTTGCTTGAATGATGTTTTTTTGTTTTATTTTTCAATACTTCTGAATAAGGGATTTTATAAAGAAAGTGCGCACTGACTGTTGGAAACTTTTGGAAAGCTTCACCACTAAAGAGCTTAGGAAAAGTTAAGAAGGACTGGAGGGGGCGCGTTTGACCCTAGCTTCTTGGAGGAGTTTCAAGTTCGCGTTTATTCTTCAGATCTCAATTGATGATGCCCGCGCGGTGCCTGCTGCCTGCCCATGACTAGCCGGGCAGTGGAGGGGGCGTGAACGGAGTACGGCGCTCCAAGGACAACAAATGCGAGAGAAATACCGCCAGGAGGACCAAGTAAGGGCGAGGAACGTCGCAGTGGAGAAAAAAACAAACAAACGGTGCAATCATGCCCGGTGGGTCTCCTGCTTCCATCACCCACAGCCAAATCAGCTGCGCCTGAGGCCTTCGCAAGAATTCTCACCGGAAGGGAGTGACTTGGATGATGTGTCCTTTCTGATTAGGGTTTAGGGTTTGGGGTTGGATGTCCTTCCCCCAAATGTCTGGTTGATCCACAACGCTCGCCTGGATCCGCGTCTATGCCAGACTTGCCAACAAGGATCCGCGCACAAGATTAGACCAGACTTGTCATCTCCAAGAGTTGCTTGTTCTGCTTAATTAGCACGACGGGGGTTTAGGCCCTCTGATGCTTCAGTGGGTCAGGAAGAGAGCCCTGTATCTCGCGGCTGTTCCGAGGGGTTCTTCCCTTTGATTCAATCGAGAGTCTCCCTTAAATGTCATGTCATGCCACTGCCCAGGGCCAAGTCAGAGCTCTCTTCGAGGGCCTTTGGCGCGAAGCCGTGAACACTGCTTTTCCAGCTGCTGTGAGTCTTGCTGACCACATGTAGGAGTGCCAGGCGTGGCGAGCAATGTCAACATCGCCAGATTTCAGTAATAGAAGGATGTCAGCCATTTCCTCTGGCTCGAAGGCGTCAGCCTCCTCTTGCTCAACTGCAGCACTTGGCTTCAACACGCCTATAAGAGTCGTTGCGCGTTTTCATGGCCTTGGCACCCCCATGTCCAAGTTGCGCGCGGCGCTAAGGAGCAATGGCACCTCTTGATAGAAGCTATTTAGGGTTCAGGGGAAACAAGCATTTCGGAGGTGGCAGTGCAACCGGAAGATACACCTGGTGGACGATGGCCCGCATGGCGCCGGCTTTCCGCCGGAAGAACACGGCTGTGGAGGAAAAACGATCAAACACACATGATTTTTTATGCGCCTGTTCCAGGAGTGGCGAGACCCACGTTGCCCGCGACGCCTTGGCGAGTCGTGAGTTCGAGAGACACTGAAGACTGAGTTGGAGTGTGAAGAAAAGGTGAGCAAGGACGTCGTGTCAGAACAATATTTACATTAATACACTCCTTAATCAAATGAAGTTTAGTATACAAACAATCCGTGTTACGGACATTCAAAAACTGTTCATTCACCACTCATCACCACACCACTCATCAATACACCACTCATACAAAGAACAAACAAAGAACAAAGAACAACAAACAAAAACAACAACGACAACAGCAACAAACAACAACAACAACAACAACAACAACAACAACAACAACAACACCAACACCAACACCAACAACAACAACAACAGCAACACCAACAACAACAACAACAACAACAACAACAACAACAACAACAGCAACACCAACAACAACAACAACAACAACAGAGCTTCGATGCCACACCCTGAAACGCAAATCCCAATGGCACGGCCACATCCAACACCCCAAAAACACGACTGTCCAAACGCTAATCCCAATGGAACTGCGTAGCAAACTGCGGATCTCACAAAACGCTGCGCCTGTGCAGTGAAATGCATCACGCTTCTTGCGCGACATGTCCTTTTCACGCAAATCACAATGGACTCGCGTCGCAAACTAACACGTGACACATCCATGAAAAGTCACTTGCAAAAGCTTCCCCCAATGGCAGCGCCTTAGCGACCTACTGCGGACGGTTGCGAACGGTTGCGATCGGTTGCTTACGGTTGCGAACATAGAAGCAACGGGTCGCGAACAAGACTCTACCCCCAGACCCCCAGAGTTAAACGAGAACTCTTCGCTACGCACTCGGGAACCAAAAAACGACTCAGGACTCAAGATTTGATGTCACGAAAGCTAGCACCAGCTAGCTGGAGTTGTCCTTGCTTTAGCAAGTGAGGGGCTGGAATCCTCGGGATCGCCGCATCACGTGAAAACTTCATATGTAGGGGGGCCCCCCCCCCCCCCCCGTGGGTTCAACTCCCCCCTCTCGGGCATCTCTTATGGCATCCACTTTGGCTTAACTCCTCCGGGATACGGTGCAACAGATTCAACAAGCTCACATGTTCATGACATCGACATCGATAGAAGAAACCAAACAAATCATGCAAGCAGCTTTGTTTTGCCTCTGGGACACCTCTTGGGCACCTCTTATGGCATCACTGGTTCAACTCCTCCGTGGAGGTTTTGGGATACGGTGCAACAGATTCAACAAGCTCACAGGTTTGTGAACACATCGGATGCATCGAACAGTGTGGCAAAGTCCAGCCACGCTTCCTTAATTGTCGGGGACTTCAATTCGAAGGTTGGCTGTGTCATTGCTGTTTGTGTGTCTTACATGTTCACAACGTTTTACCTCATGAGCATTTGCCTCACTCCGCTTGATGTCCCACCAGTCCGGATGCACCCCTGCTAGCTTTCGTCACCTACCCTCGGCCTCCAGTTGTTGTTGTTGTTGTTGTTGTTGTTGTTTAGTTCTGTCTATTACCACTACTGTACTACCACTGCTACTACTACTACTACTACTACTACTACTACTACTACTATGCTACTACGACCCTTACTACTACTACTACTACTACTACTAGTACTGCTACTACCACGACCCTATACCACCACCACCACCACTCCCGCTGGCAGCGCCAATACGAGTGGTTTTTGTGAATGGCAATTAAAACGATTGCAGTGCCAAGATTTTGAACAACCCCCCATTTTTGCAGACTTCACATGCCTGATCCTGCATGTTTTTGCTCCACATTTTGCAGTCTCCTGGACAGGAGCCTGAAAGCTTTTGCACGCTGCACATTGTGTCAAAGACGGGGCATGTTTGGAAGCGGCGAGTGCTGCTGAACTCTTTGATCGGGCCTGAATTGACTTTGTTTGGCAATAAGTTTTCTGACAGCTCAGACATCGGATTCTTTTGTGATCAAGCGGCGGTGGACCCACAAGCTCTTGTGTCTTCACTTCCTCAAGTTGTGAAGGGGCATGTGGCGATTGTGGCTTTTCTTGCAGAGGAGCGCCAGCAGGTTGAGACATCTGACATGTACCAGAGTCTTGCTGAAGTTGCCGTGCATAAGAAGCCAGACCGCGATAGCACTGTGATTGCCACACTCCTGCCACACAGCCAGGTGAAGTTTTTGGAAGAAGTTGAGCTTGATTCAAACACATCCATGGCGCTGGTGGAAGCAGGTGGCAATCATGGCTTCGTGCTGTGGCGCGCGTTGGGTGAGCCAAGCTGCTTCTTCAAGACCTTCCCAGAGATCTTGGCTGATGCCTTGCCGGACGCCTTGCCTCAAGAGCAAGAGGGGGGGAGGAGTTTCTTGCAAGGGCTGCGGAGGAGGACCAGAAGCTTGACTAAGAACTGGGTCTCGAAGCCAATGACTTTGATTTGCAGGAGCCACAAATTGATTTGGACGCCCTCAATGAGGTGCTGCCTGACATGGAGCCTGCTGGGAAGCCCGCTGACAACCCTGCTGAGAGGCCTCGGAAAATTTCAGAGGCCAAGCCAAAGCCGAAGTCTCAGAGAAAGAAAAGAAAGCATGGTCACTCACAGATTGTTGCAAGGCCTTCTTCCACAGGAAGGGTCGCTGAGAGTAGGACTGACATGATCGAGCGTGACATCCGAAGGTTGCAGGCTTCCACAAAAAGGCTGCTTCCTGTTTTTTCCTTTTCTAGAGTAGTCCGAGAGATTGTCCTTGATTTAGGCGCTGGCCAAGACCCACCGTGCACATACAAGATGCGGCGCGAAGCGTTGGATCTCTTGCACGAAGCTTCTGAGGCTTGGCTGGCGGATTTGCTCAGACGGGCCAACATGTTGACGATTCATAGAAAGCAGGTCACTTTGAAGGTTGAGGACATCCAGCTTCTCCTCCACCTTCAGTGCGCGGTGACCCGTATGTGTGCGAGCGACGCCTTGAAAAAGCATGCCCAATCGGACATGCCCAACGCACTCGGCCTCCTAGACTTAGTTGCTTTTTGCTTTCGTTTTTCGATCATTTTCTTCCGAAGCGCCTTGTTGTCCAACCGGGCCCACAGGTGTTTGCATCCCTCAACTGGTAAGCCCCGCTCAACTGGGAAGCCCCCCTCAACTGGGAAGCCCCCCCTCAACTGGGCCGCTCAACTGGGCCGCTTGAGCGGTGGGCTTCCCAGTTGAGCGGAGTGAGCGGTGGGCTTCCCAGTTGAGGGGGGGCTTTCCAGTTGAGCGGGTGGCTTCCCAGTTGAGGGGGGGGGCTTTCCAGTTGAGCGGGTGGCTTCCCAGTTGAGGGGGGGCGGTTTTACCAGTTGAGCGGGTGGCTTCCCAGTTGAGGGGGTGCGGTTTTACCAGTTGAGCAGTTTCAGGCCTCACATGAAGATTCAAATAATTAGAGGGGTTTGTCCCCAGAATACCTCCGGGATTAGCCGAGTCCCAAAAGTGGCCTTCGGCCTCGCCGCCTGGGGGCCACGAGGCGCATTTCATAGGCGGCATAGAGCTAGTACCAAGCAGAATAGACCACTTGGTAGGTAGTGGTAGTAGGTAGAAGAGAAGATGAACCCAGTGGTTGGTAGTTAGTGTGCCAAGCAGAACAGACCACACTTGGTAGGTAGGTAGTAGTAGGTAGAAGCCTGGCTGGCTGGCTGGGCTGGGCTGGGCTGGCTGGCTTGCTGCTGTGCTTGGGCCGGGGGGGGGGGGGCTTCTTCCCAGTTGAGCGGCGGGCTCCAGTTGAGCGGGGCTTGCCCA